CAGGGTGGCAAAGCACTATACCCAGTTGGATTTTTAAAGAAGGCCCGTGCTATGCTAATGTTGTACGAAATATACATGAACATACATGTGAAGGTGTAGTGAAACAATAGTCATTTGCACAGTACTTATACATGTCAAACATGTACGTACATGTAGTGGTGTGCAAAGAGACTGTTCACAATACTGCACGCAGCCATTTTCAAATGGCTTCCCTCAACTTTCTCATGCACCGAGGGCCTTTTTCATTTCATTCATTTCAATTTGCCCTCGGATGGAAGCCCCAAAACCCAGGGAGTTGATCCTGACTTACATGTATGGTACACTTTTAACAATCCGCCCATCAACTTACCCCACAGGTGGGGTAAGTTGGAAAACATGCCATATAAGTAGTCACGTTCAAGGTGGGTTATCTTTTAGATTTGTTAGAGCTTTACATGTACACACATGTGAATGCTCGATTTGCAATGCGTTCATTCGTGCATGCAAAAAATACTCTATTCAAAGTAATCCCTCTCGAAATAAAGGTTCCAACTGACCCACATCTCCCCTCCACTAAGTGCACTGCTTGGCATTCATCAAATTTCTTGCTTTAGAACTTGTTTTATTAACAGTGGTACAGGCCTATGTACCATGTATGAAACCAGGAGAGTTCAAATCCACCTGGTATCAGTATCCAGTGTTGGAGGTACATGTACATGTAAATACACAGTGTAAATATGGTACATGTACATGGAACTTATGCATGGCTTCCCCCATTTTTCTCCAACCCAATCTCCACCCATTTTTACCTTGGACATGACAAAGCGATCGCTGGCTGGGTCCTTGGGCTTGTCCAGTCTGTATTTCATGACATGGAAGAACAGAACTGACATGATCTCTGCCGCACTGCAGCATGATGTTGGGTGCCTGGAGATTGGAAAATGGCAGCAAAATTATCAATAATTATCTTAAAATCAATTCATCTTTCCCAAACTGACACTACAAGTACATGTACATGTACAGTAAGTGTCCCCACTGAACAAATCTGCATGTACATGTATCTGTAATACTGTTGTATGTACAGTGTGTTGTGCACCTGTTTGCACCCTCTCAGGGAAGCACTTCAGGAAATGTACATGGTACATGTACTTTACCAAATGTACATGTAAGTAAAGGGTTTACAAAATGCAAAGAGTACAGAGTACATATATTCTACCATGCACTGAATGGAGTTTGCAGAGCGATGAAACATTGTCAAACATATTTTTGGATCCCAATTTTAACAGAACAATGTTCCTAAAACTGAACAGTGTCTCCCTGAGATGTGTGATACCCTCATTTGTCCATATAGTTAACCCTAACACTCCTCAATCCTTCACCTGTTGGAGGACTGAGGAGTGTTAGGGTTAAGAATTATAAACATCAAAAAAAGTGTTGTTAATAATTAATGTAAACTAGTACCTACTCGTGTATGCATGTACATGTAATATTTTTACACTGTCAGTATGGTTTTTCAATGTACATGTACCTGTAAGCATTATCAATATTACAAACACGTTAAGTTCAAAGTATTTTCACTAAAACTCTAATAACATAGTCAAATGAAACAATTCAGACTGCATTTCGGGCCAAGGTGACAGTACAGTATACTCTGTACATGTACCGGTATGCACCCAGGGTAAGGTACCGGTACACTTCCTTGTTTCCTGTTTCCTGGTCAACAAATTGCTGAGTTGTGTAAGGATCCAGGTACAAGTTCTGGCACATACACGTATGTACGGCATTCCATCTGCACTGTCCAATTGTTTATCATTTATGACAAGAAAAAGAAAATCACTTAGTTTTCATTTTATATTTACCAGTTTCTGTTTTTCAAAAGGCAACTTGTACTGTCGACACCATGAATGTAGACAATAAATCTGTACATTAAATCATACTAAAATCGGAGTATTTGGGACTATTAGCTAATTACAAATTTACTGTACCTGTAGATTCCTCATCATGCTCCAATGAAAATGGGGAAAAATAGAACCAACAAAGCTTCATGTACATGTACTGGTATGTTTTTGCAAGAAATAGGAGAGAGCAGCAATCTATATTCTACAGACTTCTGGAAAGGTTCATTTACATTGTTTGGCCTTTACGTGTATATGCCTGGTACCCACTTTGCGGCAGCATGAATTTCATTTTCAAAGGTACATGTATGTATACATAAATACCATACTTCCAGGTGCCAGTAATGTACTGAATGCTTTTTTCAAGACTTACATGTACTTTAAGCCATGCATGTAGACTTAAAGTACAATAAATTCAGAAAATAACTATACATGTACATACATGTGTGTGTGACTCAGTTGTCATGGACACTGTTTCCAGAAAACCCTCCCTATCCAGTCGCTGTTTGGAAGCACCAGTAACAGGTATTTACTTACAAGTACCGGTACACGTACATCTATTCATGAATCCAACAGTGCATTTACACGTAGCACCAATTACATGATGAAGAGATAAATAGGACAATGAAAAATGTTCAGTTTTAGAGGTGGGGGAGGGGAGGGAACCCCGGATATACATGTATATTCCAGGGAAAAGGTAAAGACTGAAAACTCAGTCCGCATGCTGACTTACAGGTGTACATGTAGGTGGGATTTAAACCCAGGTTGCAGAGGTGGAAGGCGAGGAAAGTGCCAAGTACACACCAACCTGACTCCCCTTCAGGGAGAGGGAAAGCTTGGTGTCTGTCTACATGCTGTGCAACCAAAAACAGTTAAAATAACCTGACACATACGTGTAGTCTGGGTGGCACTGCTTGGGAGACACGTTTACCAAGAAGGACAGTTTTACCTTTAACACCGAAGACGACTCAGCTAGCAGTATTAACCTAACTCTACTCAATCCTTCACCTGTTGGAGGACTGAGGAGTGTTAGGGTTAATTTCCCATCAGACCTTGGAAGATGTTATAAAACAAGCAGAGACATACAAGAGCAAAAGCCCCAAATGAACTTGTTCAGATCTGTTTTTGTTTTTCTTTAACCTTTTTCATTTTACATAGTTAAAAACCTTATTTGTGGCCCGCTCTGCAAAAAAGGGTATTAAGGGACAATGTGCTATTTCACGCTAACAGCTTTTTTATGTAGACAGAGTGACTTTTCACTTCTTGGTTTATTGCCCTCTAATATTTTAGTACTTTCACAAATCATACAAGAAATTAACTGTTGCTATGGGTATCAAGAGACTTTCTTCTTGGCTGATTTCTCTTTCCATTTCCTGTGTTATCTCTGAAAGCACATCTGTTAATGTGTATGAAATGATTATGCAAAAATCAATACACCAAAATAAACCTTATAATATAACCAATTCAAATGTGTATGTAACTGATTTTGAAAAAATGTCCCATAATACCCATTGCTGTGGAGCCCGTCACATTTGAGAAATGGTACCGGTATAATTTCCTATATTTTTTTGAAAACTGGAAAAGGACTTACTTGTGCACAGACTGTTCTTACAATGGTATCAGTGCCATAAGAGTACATGCACGGTGTATGTATATTACAGATGTAGGTACACGTCGGGAGGGGGGTTTACACGCACAGAAATACATGTATGTACTTGTACATGTACTAGTACAATGTACTGGAGCGAGTACCTGTATCTGAAAATTTCCTTTACATGTATGTACATGTACGTGTAGTACCAGTAGAAAGAAAGTAAATTCACATGTATGCACTAAAATGCTGATCTTATTTTCAACCACACATACGGGTACATACATGTATACACATGTATATATCTACTGTACATGTACTGTACATGCTCCATGTACTATGCATGAGATGATGCATGCACTCTACTTCTGTGCAACAGTGCACAGACCCAAAAGTGTATCAGTACATTACTCTTTTTCCTACATGTAGAGCAATTAAACATGTATACATATACCATGTACATGTATTGTATATGTAACGGTAAATGTACATTGCAGTATTTCAGAAACGTTAAAATACATGTACATACATGTATGTACATTTACAGTAACTACTTAAAATCTTGATACTTACTTGTACCCGGTATGTACAAGTAAGTCAGTGAGGTCCAATGTCCATTATTTCTTTCTGCCAAAAGAGCTGGCTTTTATAGACAACTACAGTATAATTTGACACAGATAGGATTTGACAAGATACAGTAATGGTACATGTAGAGAGTTATATGAGTATGTACATGTAGCTGCCACGCCCAAGTGCTGTGTCCAGTCAAAAACTAGCAATTCTTACCCTGAAGTTGCAGCACTGGTGGCCTTTATGCTATCGATCCTCAACCTGTTGGCCATGTCAATCAACTCCTGTAACTTAGCTTTATCAAGGGTAGCCATGATGACACAATGAAACTCACACCGCTTTCCAAAAAAATACCAGTAAGTAAGAATTAGAGGTAGTTTCAGGGCTTGCACAGTTGACCAAAGAGGACCATCGAATGAGACTAGTCACCCACAGCCAGGCGTGTGCCTGAGTGAACAAGGAAAATGGGACAGTGCAGCGCTGCCTGGTAAGTTTAGTTTCAGCTGAACAATGTACATGTATACTTCCTGGATTGTGAGGCCTGTTCGCTCATGCATTGCATCCAGCAGTGTGAAGATCAATGAAGCGGGTACAGGTACATGTATCTGGGTACTGGTAATCCCACCACAGAGAAATGGCAGTATCCTGGAAACTTCCTGGCATACACAATAAATTAACATGGCCTCATAAGGGTGCAGTCCACCAATTCAAGCAAGAATTGTTGGCCAGCCTATTAGCATTAAAAGTGCCCCCCCACGGTATCTTTTGAAAAAGGAGATTGTATGGCCCCCAAAATGGTGAGATTGTGTAAATCAGAATCAACTCCCTGGGTCTTTGCACTTTCATCTGAGAGCAGAATGCTGTTCCCATGGAACTAATGGTCCCAAGTGCCCGAGAAAGTTGAGGGGTGTCACTTGAAAAATGGCAGCAAGCAGACTTTGGAAAAATCACTTTTTGAGGGGTTATTTTGTTTTGAGGGAATCACTCAAAACATAATTGGTTAACCCACAGAAAACTGAAAAGAAAGGCAAAGATTATGGACCATACAATGATTTAACATGTGTTTCAGATGCCTCAGGGATGTTGGTACGGATATTATTGGGCCCCAAACAATGCTGATTTTACACTGTTTTCAATGGGGCCTGAATTAGTGGACTACATTACACCTCCATGATTACACCCATAAGCAATGGATTAGATTGGCCATTAGTCTAACAAGTTAGTCAATAGAGTGAATTCCTATCTCAGTACCACAGGTATACAGTTATTACAGTGTACTGGTACATCGTGTACATGTACATGAATCGCAGAAACTTCAGGCAAAATGGTGAAATGCAATGTACATGTACAGTACATTATTTACACAATGTACCATACATGTATAATACGGTATAACATACATCATTTTGTACAATGTACATGTACATGTGCAATCCTACAATATACTGGTACATGTAGTTTCTCTATCAAAGTAAAGAAAGTACTTTGAATTATTTTAATTAGTTTCCTTCGGAACATCGGCCACGTCGGCCATGGCTGTTTGCGTGGAGTTACCACGCACGAGACAGTGGATTTTCAGGATGCGCACACCTCCGTAACAGCGTTTCTAATTGGTTGATTCCATCCAATTCTCCATTCGGTCACAGTAATTGATATCCAATCAATGCTGGTGAAGTAATTATTTCAAATTATGAGTGCCCCTCTCCTCCCCCCCCCCGGATGGAAAGATCAAGACTACAAGATAGAGCCGCATACCCAACAGTCTATATGTACTGGTAGATGTACAGTATATTGAGCAGCCACACCTCCAAACATGCAGCAGTAACCGCTGAAACACAATCTACTGTAGACAACTTCCAACTCTACACGTGTAGGATAACTCGCAGAATTTTCATGTAGTGAACTGTAGTGAACAAGACTTCGGCACAGCCACAGGAAAGTGTTATAATTTTTTTTTTTTGCATGTATGTGTACAGTGCATGTATGTTTTGACACAAAAATGAGATTCAATTTCCAAAAAATAATTTTCACTTTGGGGACTGCAGTTTTGATTTTTTTAATTTAAAACGGAGTAAAACATGCCTACATGCAAGTTACTCACATGTGGGATGCATACATGTACATACTGTACAGGTACATGTATATACATGTAGTAATTCTGCACCAAAATGCTATTTCTGTCAAATTTTGGGTCTTATCTTAATTTTCATCTTAATTTTGGTGCCAACAATGGATACCTACTCCAAAGCCATTGATTTCTTAAATAATCTACGTTGATGTAACTTAATTTTTTAACGGAAAACATTTAATATAATTGGCTTGAAATTTTGGTCCCTAGGAAACATACCAAAATGGAAATTCCATGGAAATTTCCATTTCTAACTCATGCCATCATGGCTCACTCTTTTGGACCATACCGTACATGTAAAGGTATGCTCATGCAGATCATGCAGCAAGCAATGTCAGAGTTGATATTAAACTACAACTGGCAGTAATGCACATTGATATTGACAATGGCTATCAGTGTTTGCAAATGGCCTCTGTACGGTGACATCAAGAGTAAGCCGCAGCCAATGCAGCTGCAGGTCCATGAGTTAGATAATCGATGCACACGAGTACCGGCACATTTGAAACACGACCTTTTAGCTTCTGTCCATTAAGACTCCTACAGGTACGTGAACTAACACAACAGCGAAATTATTCTCAACCATGTGAGGTTACAAATGTTGTTACTTACTCCTCGTTTGATGTTTAATGTTGAAGTAACCAGCTTGATATTCAATGTTGAAAAAGTAACAATTAGACATTCAGCAAGCAATCAGGATGCACACCCCTAACTAAGTCCTTGCTAGTAATCTGGTTGCAACAGAACGATGGAGTACAAAGGAATAAAAAACAAGCTGTACCACACCATGCATATATCCAGTCACATGTGCATGTAGCCTACATTACTATTTCACCATGACGTATGCACACACAACTCTCTCCCACACAGGCAACTCGGGCATGGGGTTTTTCGGGGACAACCAAGCCCTTCAAATAAATTTACCAGTACAGTAGGCCTAGACGACGGCTGCAAACCATGGTAGGAAAGTGACTGCATCACACCAAACTTTTCTTGAATTGAAATGAAATACCTAAACCCCACGCTCCACCTCAAGATTACAGTAGGGCCTACATGAATGTGCTTTCACTGCCCAATGCCCCATTAGGGGCATTGGGCAGTGAAATGGGAGAATAATGCCACTGGCAGTGTGAAGTAAGGCCGTAACGAGCGGAACCATGTAGTCACGGGGTCCGAACATCTCGACCGTTTGCCAACTCGACCGTTGAGACAACTCAACCGTCCGTCCGTAAAAGGGAGAGACAAGTCGACCGTTGGGACAAATCGTCCGTTGGGACAAGTCATCCGTTGTGGTACACTGCCCACTCAGCCAAGTCATCTATTGAGGCAATACATGTATGCCCTAAGGATGAAATTTCATGTAGTAGACAAGCTTAATATCTGAGGAATTTATAAAAATGGTGGCTGTAGTAACTCATTCTTTGCACAGTCAACCGATCTTGCACCCGCGCTGCACGTATATGGGCCGTACGCATTACGGTCGTAGCTTGAAATAAAAGCCTTGGTGTTGTCCTTCAGTTCTGCATTCTCAGACAAGTTTGGGTTTAAAGTGAAATGTAAACTTCTTCTTGAACAAAACTTGCCCTCGGAAAATTTTGGCCAGAATTCTGACTCGCCCTTTGACATTTTGGAATGGTAGGGGAAAAAAAATGATGAATAGTCTAGGGTGATCCGAAATCCTTTTTTCATACCGAACAGTCATATAAACTCTTGCATCTAATGTCTGTTTAATCAAAATGACTTTCAAAGTTACATTTTATTAAAACTGGCCGAAAACTGAACGCATATTGTTTCCTAGTTTTGGATCACACATTAAGTGCATGCACGCAATATACTTTGCGAACTCATCTAGCTATACGGACGTTGCAGAAATGTACGTGACGTAATGGGTTCGTCAGCTGTGCGGCACGAAGTAATATTGTTGATGGCTCACGCTGTGCAGCTGAAAAAGTTGAGTCGAAATTTACATAAGATCCAATTTTTAAAAAATTCATTGGAATTTGTATTTATGAACCAAGTTTTCTAAATTGAAGAATTTTTCATTAGAAAATAAGCTTTTTGCAATGGTTCTGGCTGAAAATAGATTTGCCGCTCGCGTAGTTACTTTCCGGAAACAGATCCAGAACGAGAAAAAGTGTCACCACTTTCATCGATCCCGTACGTCCGAATTAAAAGTTTAAAATTTGAAACTGATTTGGTGGTAGCCATGGTGTCTCTATCACACAAGGTGGACGGTGACCACATTTCACTGGAATTCAAGGATTTTCGTAAAGCTGCAATCTGACTGAATAATTTCGCTATCTTAAACTGGGAAAATGACTGTATTACGTGAAGAGATCTCACTGGTTGATTTGTCTCTCTGTCAAAGTCGAGTTGTCCCATAAACGGACGACTTGGCAAACGATCGAGTTGTCTCAACGGTTGAGTTGTCTGAAGTCAAGTTGGCAAACGGTCGAGTTGTCTGACATCCGTAGTCACCAGATCCCTTATTTCGCCACCTATTGTCAAGTAAGCAGTGAAGTGGCAAAATAAGGAACCTGGCGACTATACAGTCATCAGGCACGTTAGTCATGTTGGTTCCGGTTATAAATATCATATTCGAAACCGATTAATGAACAAGTATATGTAGGCCTAACAGTTTGATATTCAATGTTGAATAACTAACAGTGTGACAGTCGGCGAGTGCTCTGGATGCACAGCCAATTACGAGGATACGAAGGCTTGGCGGTCCAGTGCCACTGCCAGTGGCCCAGTCACCATGTTAACGGGGCTACGATACATGGTTGGCCTAACGTTATGTTTCTCATCTCTGCAGGAGTGCACTCACTGCAGGTGCGGTGATGGCTGATCATGCGCCGCGCGCTCACCCTGATTTTGCAGCACTGGTAGACTGAATACTGTGAACACGTAGCTTGTTAGCGATGTCACTCAACTCCTGCACCGTCTGCCGGTCTGGCCTGTGGTATGCTCCCCCGGTTACGTCCATCCTTGGTAGATTTCAAAGATTTTCCAGTTTAGGCAGCTCACCGAGTTAGCGTTTTATTTGGGTGCCCCGAGAGAACACGCACATGCGCTGAAGTGTGCCGACCATGTGATATCTGTTGGCATCGATCATGTGCGATCCGTATGACTCTGAGTTCGAGGCGATACTCTCTCTATGTTTATCGTTAGTGTTCTTCAACCTCGAACTCTTTGACCGCCTTAACTTGCAATTGAAATATTGCGCCCTCTAGTATTCAGTAAAATTAGATTGACCCTTGAGATGAGTGCGGGAACAAACAGCTCAACTGTATTTGTTTTCGTGTGTCGGCAGCTCGAAAGCCGGGAGCGTACAACCGGGGCCGGCCAAGTTCGATCAGCGGCAATTTGTTAGCCACCGTCTCGATTCATTATTCCTGACTTGACTATTTGTCGCTGATCAAACTTGCCCCGGTTAGGGCCAATCGAGAGTTAGTGGCAAGGAACATGACATGGCTGCGTCCGGGTACGTTCTTCGAGGGTGGTTTGGATAACAGGGCTGAATTCGTCTCTGTTTGAAAAGGACATTCAGTTCTGAGTTGTGGAAATTATTAATGTTAATTTTGCAAAACCTTTTGTCTCCGCCTTTGTAAGCCATCTCGTTATCAAGAGTGTGCGGCACGACACTGTAATGACAATGGTCCATTTCGGGATACGATAACGAGATTTCGATGTTTGTGTATTTAGCTCCTTTATCGTTCATCTCTGTTTGGTACACATTCCTACTGCACGAATTCATAAAAATTTACTGGTACCGTAAACACCGGTACTGATAAAGTAAATACTGGCGGCGGAAGCGGGGGGGGGGGGGGTGTCCCCACTTTTTTGACTGGCAGGGAGCCATGCCTCCCCTCCCACTTTTTGTAGGTCCTATAATGGGCGGGGCTTCATGGATCGGCCTATTAATGCCCGATGGCCTCACAACTGCATCCCCTTTGAAAATCGTTTTTGCCGTCGATGGTACGTACGGAGCAGTTTTGAGGAATATTGAGCAGTTGTTGTGGTGTGACCGCAGTGAAATTTGAGGCGGCACACAATTTTTCAAGGGGGACACTGAAAACAAATAAAGTGTGGCTTGTACATACTAAGGCTGGTTAAATTCCAAAATTTCAAAGGGGGCGGGACGGGGAGGGAGGGGGGCACGGACTTCCGCTTGGGACCCCTCGTGCCTCCCCCGTTGTTTCGTCTTATATACTCGATGCCTTGTAAGGTCAAAGAAAAGTGTAGTTTTATAGCTATTAAAAGACAGATTTATTCGTGGAGTGTACGTACACGTTTGAATTTTTTTGTTTGTTGGTGAAGGAAAAGCCTTTGATATGCATTTTGTATGCAGATGAAATTCCAAATTATACTCGATAAGTATACTACCAAATATCAAGGTTATGATACAGGACAACATTTTCTTTAATTGACCCAGTAATGTCAATAACATGGCGTGTATCAAGAGCCTGGCGCTTACATTGACACAGACGTTCAAAACAGTCGTACTTCACAAGAAAATGGAAAGGATGGAAACCTGTATGCGACACCAAAAAAGCATTTTAGTTTCATTTCGGAATATGACATTCGCCTCGTTTAAATAAGTCCCCCAGTTTTTTTCAAATTTTCAAGGAGCATGGAATGAATTCGAGTATCGAGGCGTTAGGTAGTTCGGAGACTTCCATAGCAACGGGGAGATTAAGTTGTAGTAATGAATAATGTGCTTGTTGGTTGTTTTCTCATGCATATACTCCTCAGAAATAAAATATGACATTATAATCAAAAATAAAATCACAAAAAAGAGGAATCTGTCAGTTTCGGTCACTTAGAGTAGGAAATTATTACAACTCCAACAGTGAACTGCAATGAAAGGTAGTTCAGCAATGATTGCTGATCTACCACAGCTATTTCGGGCGTGTTTGGTACCGTTAGTTCGACTGTACAAAAGTGGATAAGAACAAATGAAATAGAAGTAATTTCAAGAGTAAATCTTGTCATATTCAGAGGGGGGACGGTTTGTTCGGATATGTGTTGCCAAAGATCTCGATGCCATGTAGAGGAAGACACACTATGCAGCATTTTCGTTTCTAAACGTGGAGCTCTGCTCCCATCAACAAGAAAATGTATAATTTACAGGGTCCTAAATTTGTGGATATTTATTGAACACTATTAGATTTAGGCTATCAGTTAAGCATTATGATTCAAATTAAGGGCATAACATAATAAACTATACGAAAAGTCCTAGGAACGCACCTTGGAAATTATAGGCAAGGAGAAAAAATGCTGAGATCAACCGGTGTGTATTGGTGATTTTCGATTTTGTTTAGCGTTTCTAACAATTCTGCTTATTTTTGCCTGTGTTTGAAACATTACAGCATGTCATAGACGACACTAAAAGAATCTTGGACAATGGCTATGGTATGGGCAAGAGGGAAAGTTGAGAGCTATCGATGCATAAACAAACCGTCGGTTGGTCAATCTCCAAACTGACTACGTTCCTAAGGCATGGTGAAAGGTAACTTAGGGTATGTCCTCAGTCGTCTTCCTCGGACTCAGGCTCAAAAAAGGATGACGAGGAGGAAAATCGTTGCGCAGCTGGGCCTCCACCTTCGCTCTCACTTTCGCTCTCGCTTTCGCTCTCGGTTTCACTCTCGCTTTCGTTCTCCTGCCCTTCGCTTTCGGAAGCCTCCTGACCGGCAGGGCTTCCGCCTTCGCTTTCGCTTTCATTCTCGCTCTCGCTTTCATTCTCGCTTTCGCTCTCGTTTTCTGATCCTTCACTTTCGGAAGCCCCCTGACCGGCAGGGCTTCCGGCTTCGCTTTCGCTTTCATTCTCGCTCTCGCTTTCATTCTCGCTTTCGCTCTCGTTTTCTGACCCTTCGCTTTCGGAAGCCCCCTGAGGAGCGGGGGACTCCGACCCCTCGGACTCAGATTCGGTTGGCTCAGGGGACTCCGACCCCTCGGACTCAGATGGCTCCGAACCTTCCGACTCTTCTCCACTCTCTGGTGAGTCGCCGCCCTGACCACCAGTGCCTCCATTCCCTCCGCCGCCACCACCACCGGTGCCAAAGCTGGAACCTTCAGTGATTTCTGGAAAGAATTGTTCAGCAGGAGCTTTCAGAAGGGCAGGGCCACCAGCGCCGGTTTGCCCTTGGCTTCCCCTTTGCTTACTACCCTCGTTGCCCTCCTGCCCCTCTGTGCCTTCTCCCTGCTGGTCTGCAGACTCCCCTTCCTCCTGCTCTGCTCCATCCCCATCTTGCTGCTCTGCTCCCTCCCCGTCTTGCTGCTCCGCTCCCTCCCCATCTTGCTGCTCTGCTCCCTCCCCGTCTTGCTGCTCTGCCCCATCCCCGTCTTGCTGCTCCGCTCCCTCCCCGTCTTGCTGCTCTGCCCCCTCCCCATCTTGCTGCTCCGCTCCATCCCCATCTTGCTGCTNCCCCGTCTTGCTGCTCTGCCCCATCCCCATCTTGCTGCTCCGCTCCATCCCCATCTTGCTGCTCTGCCCCATCCCCGTCCTGCTGCTCTGCTCCCTCCCCGTCTTGCTGCTCTTCTCCCTCCCCGTCCTGCTGCTCTGCAGCCTCTCCGTCTTGTTCATTCTGGCCATTGACATTGAAGAAGTCGGTGCCCTGGCCAGCCTGCTGGGCATTGGCTCCTCCATCCTGCTGGTCTCCGGTATCTGTGTCCATCTCTGTGCTTTCAGCATCCGTTCCCCCAGTAGCCTGGTTCACGGGGGTCGTCCTCCTGCAGGGCCAGGGCGACACAACTGTCAGCTCGGACATTCTGGCATTCTTGCATCTCTTCAGCTGGACTATGCATGCAGAGGCGTACTTCCTGCCGTCGGAGCCGCAGACGGGTTTACGGGGGACGTTCCTGCAGTTCCGCGGGCACTCTCCGAAGACGGGTGCCGGATCTGCAACAGAAACACAGCAATGCTTTATATTTACCATCGACCATTAACCCTAACAGTCCTCCAGCAGGTGAAGGATTGGGGACTGTTAGGGTTAATAAAGCCAGGTAACAGCAGAACACGTGGCACACTTTACAAACCTCGTGTTCAGAACTCAACGTGTATTTTATAATCGTATACTTATTCGCTACAACATCTGGGAAAAAACAAAGGCGGATCCAAAGCCAAATTTTCCGTCAGGTGGAGGGCAAAATTTGAGAATTTCCTTTCATGGATTTTTTTGGGGGGGAGTAGTATAGGCTACACTAAGAAATGTCAGCCCTGCTTTTGTTCATATTTGCAATTACTGATCATAACTGGCACCAAATTACAGCATTGTATGTACCCAATTTATGTCCATTCATTGTTCCTGAGGACATTAATTTTAATTTATCGAAGAACTCCGACTGGGATTTTCGGACTCGAAGTCTGACTGAGATTTTTCAGACTGTGAACTCAAGCCAGGACTTGAGCCATGCAGAGTACCCTTAAGTATTAGAAACTCTGATCCCTTGAATCCGCCAATGAAAAAAACCCCTGATATTTGGAGGGTGTCATCATGGCGCAGTTTCTACGTGTCAACAGAGGTGGATACACCGTTTTTCCTCTGCTAGCTCAGCATCTACCCTGGCCCGTTCATCCTTCAGAAGTGAATTTATACTCACTCTGTGGCACATTGCGGCATCTCCCCAAATGGGCCACAGTGGTCTCGGTGCGTTGCTCGCAGGCTTGTAGCACGAGCTTGCAGGTGTTCTGGTAGGTCGTCCCATCGGTGCCGCACACTCTTCCTTCGTAGTCTAGATCGTTCCTACACCGTCGAAATAAGACCTTGCATCTGCGCGTCGGGGCTATTGATATGATCAAACGAGTCAATCCAGACCATTAGTATAAGCACACTCTCAACTGACGGCATTGCAGTGAAACTGTGATTACCTAATCATTATTTATTACATGCCCAAAAGATGAACGACACAGTCACAAGTCCAGATTCTTCCATTACACTTCTCTTCTCCTCGAAATTCAAAACGCTTGTTGTTTGACAAGGGCCTAACTTTTTGAACATAAACGACCTGAGGACGTAGCTGCGAGACGAATTGAGTGCAGACATGGTACAGCGTAAGCCATGCGTCAGGTAACGAAGTCATTCGGCATGTGTCGCATCTCTTTGGGGCTAGGCTCATCAAAGGCAGGTGTAAGCTAAACTCCGTTTGAACTTACTTAAAATTGAATCTTTTTCACGTTTATGGAATCATTTTCTACATGTGACACTCCTTTTATTCATCTAGGCGCGCCGAACGCCGTGCGCCCATTGAGGCCAAAGGGATGATTTACAACAAACAGACGATAGATAGATCATACTTTGCTCAAGTGTTAACGTTAATCTGGAATTTATCTAGAACAGCATTTACTTCGTCAAAACTAAAAAGAAACCCTCATGATAGCAGTCGGGAACCGATTGACACCCCACAGTAGGAAGTGATCAACCTCGATCACCGCTATTTTCTACAACCGTTCCGTCAGCTAAGTTTGGAAGGGAAATCGGAGAGCCACAATAGGACGCGGTTCTCAAATTGACGTTATAAATATAAAAGCTGTATAGCTCCGTTGTGATGCACCGCCTAACAAGTCTACTTTTTCTAAATGAAGTTGTACCTTATGACCTTGCTCATCTTCAGATCAAGGGTGTAAATGCAGGGGAGGGGAATGGGGTTATATATCCCTCCCAAATTTTGCCTGGGGTGATATGGGCAACCATCCCCCCAACTTTTTCGTGGTGAGAAAACAATTAAGACGGATTGTGAAAACGTTTTAAACTTCCCAACTACCAAAATGTATTCAGTAGCACTTAACAAAGGAGCACAAGTAAAAACACCATAAGTAAGCCGTTTTGATGTAAGATGTACATCTGTATCATGGACATCGCCTTCAATTATCGGGTCAGTTCCCCCCCGGCCGCTTTTTAAATTTCCATGTCCTCGCGGGCAGCGTATTTCGTTTTCCCAAAATGAGGTCCAACAGTTTCGAAAGAGGGCGCCCTCTGTGCTTATGAATTATTCACTTTACAATAAGTAAGAGTATAATGACCCGTGCTTGGCAGCGGCTGTGCGTGGATTGATTGTAATGGGAGTACTCCCGACTTTAAATCTTTCGTTTCATTTTCGAATGCCCTCTGTTGTGTTTACGACTCTTTTTCATTTAACAAGTGAGAAAGGAATATTCTCACGATAGGTTGGGCGTGGGTGGTCAAGAACGATATATTAGATATGCATGTAACAAACCAATCAAAAAAACAGAAAACCACAACTGTTTGGGAAAAAATAAATTCGCGGCCGGGAAAGTCATCCACGCCACTCCATTCCGTAGTTCCCGGCACACATTTTCGGATCGCCACTTCCTGAAAATGTCTGCAGCTCTGTTTTTTAGACTCTAACTTCGTAACTGTTGTCAAAGACTTTAACAGATTCAAAGGAGACGGGGACAAGTTATGCACAACGCATAAAACTGCCCGTACGGTGTCAATCACAGTATGATTATGTACATGTAGGCCCTACAGTACATACGTGCACAGATACTTCAAAGTGTATCCTCACCTGACTGCACTACTCCTGTCAGCGTGACGAAGATCACCGCCAAAGACACGAGGAACTTCATCTGAGGATGGGAAGGGGGAAAGGAGCATGGAATGAGCATGCACTAATCAGGAGAATTTACAAAGAGCTCAAAGATTGAAAATAAAACATAAAAACCAAGCCACAAACATAATGAATGGAGTACCTTGATAAAGAGTGGGGCATTATCAGGGTTTTGGGTTGCGGGGGGGGGTTCAGGGGAAAAATTGTTTGTTTTTTTTAAATGACAGTCCAAGTTCTTTCATTTGTAGAAAGGCCTCACTATATGCATGAAAGTACAGTTTCGAAAGCATTAGCGCTTTCAATTCTTAAAAAAAAACCGAAAAAAATTATCAAGGAGGTCCCCTACTCCCCGCTGGAAGAATTATTCAGGGAAGAGGGAAAAGGAGAAAATAATCCAAAGGTAAGTACGAGGCACAATGGGGAAAGACGACATAAGCAAGAAAAAAAAACGAAAACAAGGTGAACTAATCAAACAGCCGCTCACACAAGTTAAAGTTGAGATACGGGTAAAATGGAACAAAACGAGACGACGACATGAAAATGCATGAGGGGAAAAGAGAAGCAAGAGAAAAAGAGGTAAACTGTTCGAAGGAAACATAAAAACGTACTTAAGACAAAGCCAAGCAAATAAAAGATTTAATTGAGCTGTAAAGAAGTATCATCGACTACCCACTTACCCTCATTTCAAAATGCTTCTTCTTCTTGAAATGGATTGCCTCTCTCAGCTGAAGAGTTCCTCTGAGGAACACAGCACGATAAATGCTGTCGAAGTTGAGCGCAGTTGTTTTTATACACACCCTTCAGACTTGTCACTGCCAAGTGATGAGTAAATTTGAACGAGCGCTAGTCCCACCCATATCCATATATGACGACAGTTTCCGTTCTTTGCTGTTAGTCATTCCACCCCAAGGACTTGGTTGCTTTGAATACTGTACCCCAATGGATGAATATGCATGATTTTGCTAAATATGTTAATTCAGGAAGGGAAATGCCTTGAATCGAGAGTAACTGCAGGGATATTAAAAACGAAACCAACATTCACCTGGACATCTCAGTTCAACGGAAGACAAAAGTGTTTACAAAATAATGCAACCCCTAAATCGGCCGAGCTCAGGGGTAAAAATCCCGGGGAATGGAGTGTTTATGTCCCCCACCGTTTTACCGGGGAAGGACTATTGCATTATTCCCAACTTTTTAGTATTGAGAATAAAAAGGGCTGTTTTTTTATAGAATTTTGTTTTAGAACTTTCTGACAAGCAAAATGTAATCAGTAGGCTTAGAACTGAAAAAAAAGGCATGAAAAAGTGCTCCAGCTAAAATACTCCCTTTTGAAGTTAAGCGCTCCTTAACTTGTCCAGCCCCCTTTCTTGATTTTCTACGGCCGAGCAAATTTCATTCGTGTATTAATTTTTTTCTAAAAATATATTGAAGTCACCGCACGTGTTGTAAATGTAACTTATTCCTAGGCTTATTTAGAAACATGATCGAAGAGGCAGATCGTGAAATATAAACTGGTCAGATAAAAACAAGGCACGAATGAAAGTTCTAGTAATTATGCCAGAACTTTTAAAATTCACAAGCTGTTCCCAGCTAGCTGCCAGTTACCAAGGTGACAAAGATGTCAAGGCACATGGACATCGCGAGCGGATGAAAGTGATTGCTCCCGTCGCTTGGGAATAAAAGGGAAATATATTATTTAAGGGGAAATAAGGAAAAAAAGAAGAAAGAGGATGGAAATCACCTTACGAATATGCACTGCTATCGATTCCCTTTCACTGTTGACGGTTTCTTGCCCTGATACTTATGCTGTTGACTTCTTTTCCCCTACATGAATCCGTTGGAAAGAGCTACCCCTTCCCTCATGGCGACGCCCATGGGAGGACGTTTCTGAACGGAGGTTTGTGGGCCAGTGTGTGAGAACAAAGATAAACACGGAGAAAACAACTATTTGCAAGTGTCCATACGAAACCCTAGGTTCTTCGATCCTCCTAAATCCAACAGTTTGGTGGGGGTTAGGGTTTCATAGGTCTTAGGACAGTAGTGCCCAATTGTTCTCGTTTTTGGATTAACTTTTTAGATGGGGCTCGATGCCCCTTGTGAAAGACATATGCAATGGAAATTATCTTGCCACCAGTTTCCTGCACATGAAAGATTTTGTAGGCTCGGGGCAGTTCCGAGCAATGTCCATTGATGGTTCCGCCCATATGGCTGTCGCTTCGCTAGAATTTTTTTTTTGCGTGGAGAGCCCTTATCGGCAGCACGCTGACAAAACTGCCAACGGAAGAACGGGTCAATTCAAAGTATTTTCAAGCAAATTGTCGATTTTCATTAATTTCTTTCTTTTCCCTGTCTATCACCCGTCTTTTATCCTTTCCTTTTTCACTTTTCCCGAGGATTGCGACGTCTTTTCCCTCGCGAAATCTCGATAGTTCTACCCACCACCGGTCTCTCTGACCTCATCCCAACATCCAGCGACCAGGATGTATTCAAAACGGGAATAAATTACCATTTGGTGCGTAAGGAGGGAGTTTCCCATGAGAGACGAGAAAGGCACAATTTTCCATAGATCTCAGGCTCGGGGGCAAAAGTTTCGAAGGTCAAGATCCACTTCCAATTCCAAGAAATTTGACCGCGACCCACTCACGCCAAAAGGTGGGGAAAGTCGACCCATCAAGGGAACGTGTCACCGTACAGCTGACGGATACTGGTGATTAAGTGCAAATTGGGAGCGATGGGATTAGGGGAATCGGGGGAGATCCCTGAGTCTGACTGGGGAAGGGTGGACAGACTAGCAAACTTTTTGAACAATACAACTGCAACAATTCTCCATTGTTCTGTTGGTGTACTGCTATGGAAAAGCAACTTTCGCAGAGATGGGAGATGCACGTGCTAAAAGGTCCCAGTGGAGTAAATCTGTGCCGCGAGCTGGGCAGTGGGGGATTGTTCGGAGATGACTTGCCTGGCTATGGAAATTTGAAAAGGGGGGAGGGGTGTCCCGATACCATACTTATGACACTGGGAGGCGACGTTCACGATACTGATGTACATGTACATCTGTAATATGTATTACACTCCTTCAGAACCTTACATCAAAACGGCGTAGCTTTGTATCTTAAATACTCTCCCTTTTAGAGTGTTGTACACATTTTGGTCGTTGGGAAGTTTTGTCACTACGAACAAGGAGTGGGAGGGGAGTTATTCAACTGCTCATTCCCCTTGTTAAAATGTGGAGGGATTATACCGTAGCCCATCTCTACAGGGATTTATGCCAACGTCAGACCCCTTAGCGTCGTGCTGAATCCGTCTTTGGGAAACACAGGATGGGCCAAGCTAAGAGATCATAATTTGGAGGGTCCCAGGACAAGCCTGAGAATTTACATTATAACAATGCACTGCTGGGGCAGGAAACTCAGAAAACGCCGTCTACGTTTCTGCACGCAGTTCACGGTTCCTCGGGGCACATATTTGCTGAAAGCGAGTAGATATTGATGTTCTTTTCTGTTGGGGGAAACAGAGGATAGTGCACGACAATGCACATAAATTAACCACATTGTCCTTTTTTCTTATCTTCAACCTGTGACACATTTGTGGGTTATGAGTGGTTGGGTTACTTCGTTTTATGTTGAATCTGTTCTTAGAGGAACCATGCAAAGAATTTTTCTTAGAATCGCTTTTTGTGTATGTCTGTCCTCCTCTTCTATGTATGAAGATTATGAACTCTCATTTTGAGTTAGGTGAACTGAAAAGTGCACTTTTAAACTTTCAAAAATAAACCAAGCATTTCCGAACGAGTGAGGGCACTTTCGCCTTGATATAAACCCAGGAAGACAATGCTCAGCTTGCATGTATTCATGCTCAGTTTGTGAACTCCAAATTTGCTATATGAAAACATTCCTGAGTAGCGGTTGCTCCCCAACTTATTGCCATACACTTACACAACAATAAATTGGCAAAGGAAATGAAATCTACGATGGCAGTGTTTAAACAAATCTAGAATTGTTTGTGTAAAAATTAGAACTGACATTCAGTGCCTTGGATGACACCATCGTTTTGCTCATGAATATGAAAATTGCATAGCAAAAAAAAAAACAAGAAAAGCTCTAATATATGGGTTAAGGGAGTAAAACAATAATTTAAAATCAGGTGAATTGAAACCGAAGAGTGCACTCTCAAGGATTTTTGTACAATTAGGAAAATAATTCTATTTCATGGTCCCTTTAAGTGGACTACTGACGCTTACTTACTGCGGGCATGAACGAGGGTAACCCTGAAGGCATTATATTCCCACACTGATCTGTCATTAGGGTATACATGTACATGTACAGGCATCACGCAAACAGCATGTATATCTTGACCTTGAAAAAGGGCAGCTGCTTCTTTACAAGGATGTTGAGTTTTCAGGGGCGTAAGTCCCGGGGCGAATATTACCCCACAGATTTACTTTCCTGGGATTTGTACCCTTTCCCTAGCCCTCAATTGGACATAAAAAGACAAACGTAGCTCTGGAAAATTCCCAAACGCCCCGCCCACCCCATCCCATTAATAGCTCATTCGCTCTGACTCGGTTTACAGTGTGGGAGTATGAACTGCTGCAGAATTTCCATGTCAGTTGGGTACTTCATTTGAAGCTCCACAACACAAGAACTCACACGCTCAGTGAAACGAACAATTTCTTTCAAGAGAGTTCGGACTGCTTCGTGATTCACTCGTGCTCTGACGAGTTCCAACTTCAAAAAGAATGCTCTTCTCATAACAATGACACTGGTGAAGTAATGCAAATAATATAATGACAAAAGGAACGAAACTGAAAGTTACCGTGTTCGGTCAATGTAAGCTGCGGCTGTCAAAATAATCAAGGAAAGTCAACATATTGAACTTTCCATGGCCAGAGCTCGTTTAAGGTTGCGCCCCAGACTTGCACCCTATGACGGAAGGCACTTAGGTTCAAACTCATCATTCCATCTAAAAATACACGTGACCGTGACATGAACTGATTGTATTAGTCACAGCTTTTTTGTTTTCACATCATCCAGAAACCCAATTTCAACTCGGCGTGTTCCCATGTATTGTCTATTTCCCCTATAGGTTTATATATTCTGGGAGTTGGTAAGTCGTGAAGTTAAGGGGATACCACAAACATTCATTGAAATTGAGCTTGTATCGTGGCTTTAAGGACCAAGATCAACTCCACCACTAAGTTCACCTCTCTGTCTCAAACAATCCCGGGGCTAGTTTTTCCCGCATTAATCTGTTAAGCGAGAGATCAACTTGAGATAATTCCAACACTCAAATAGCCTATAATTATGATTCCGAATACAGCAAGGTTAGTCGAACTTTATTCTATGGAATAGACTTTCGCACGGGTAACGTCCGTGATGACGAGCCTGTAATGTTTGGCGCTTATTTTGTGCACGACGTCCATGTCTTGTGTTTGCGTTCACCTCACAAAGTTCTTTGCCGCAAAACATGGGAATTTTGCATTCCAGATGCAATTTTGATATAAATAAATTACTATAATAGGCTAATGGGAAAAGTGCCGTTAAGAAGTGTGTGCAACTTATAGCTCTTATTAAAATCACTTTCCCCATGCTTAATAACGACTTTTAAAAAATGACACATTATGTTTTTCCGTTCATTCTATGACCTTACACCCTATCAGCAAGAGCATGGACAGAGTTTTGTCACGTCAGGGATGTTCGGAAAATACCCACCCACGTCTCTGAAAGAAAGATAAATGTAGGCCTATATAGCAAGGGGATTCCACTTTTTTTTGAATGGTTCCTCTCCATGTT